TATTTAATGAGGGACCTGGGATGAGGAACCTGACTCAGACCCTCTAGGCATCCACCTAGGAAAATACTAGCAAGGATTCTTGGAAATTAAAACTGTTGGATCCTTCCAAGGAAATGAATGGTCAGCTCTGTTATAAGAAGCTGATTGTTTACTTTATAGCATTTAAACTCATTCTATTCTCCTTACTGCTTGGATGATGTTGTCTGTTAACTTTTTAAAAAAAAAAATAAAATTGAAGACTAGGGAAGATAAAATCCAAGTCAAAGTATTATATTTATTGAGCAACAAGCGTTAAAAATTGTGAATCAAGAGTGGAAATAAGGCTAAATAGTATTCGAGGAACATCTCTGAAAAAAAAAAAAACTCATGGTATAAGTCACATGAAATGCTCCAACTGGAGCAATCTGGAATATTGTCAACTAGAATATTCCAGCACAGGGAAGACCTGTAAAATGTTCTTGAGAAAGTTTAATGAAAGTTGTGAACTATAACTATATGCGTGAAATACTGCAGACAACTTTTTTTTCCTCTCTTTTAAGGCAATCTGCGAACAGAGGTTTGCTGGGACATCCATGTGAGTAAAAGGGGTGATACGCAGATATATTGTTCAGGTGTCTTTGAAAGCATCCTATGACTATAGTCCGAAGTTGTGAAAATGCCTTTTCCCACAGATGGGCTAGACTAGAGCCTGCTCATACATGAAAGCTGATTGTCAGGAATATTTGGACCTGGTCATTAAACACAACCATTATTAAAATTTAGGTTATATAAACTTACAATTAAATTAGTTCCAGTAAAAACAAAGGTAACCAGTACAACTCATTATTTGCTAATCATTTTATTGCAGTTTACTACTGTTATGTTTCTGAGTTTATTTAGTCTGTTGTACCTGTGTAGTGCAGTTGTCATATAACGGTGGGCTGCTGTGTGCCTCTTCCCCAGTCCTTGTTAGTATCCTGCTTTGGATGATAAATTATATGGTAACAGTATCTTTGGGTAACCCCTCTCGAAGGGACCCCTGTGGGTTCCTAGTTCGTGGAATCTTGATGGTGGTGAGGATGGGAAGAAATCATGAACCTCATTCTGTCTGGACCAACCCATCCCTCCATTCCCCACCCTGGAAAAACTCCCCTGCCTGTCTCCAGAAGAATTAAGGGGGGGTGCAGCCTCGAGGGAGAGTGGAAAGCGTATTGGAATGAGAGCTTAGAATATTAGATTCTATCTCCAGCTCTGCCCCCCAACAAGCGGTGCAGCCTTGGGCAAGTTGTCCACCGCTCTGGGCCTCAGGAGGCAAGCGAGGTCTCTTCCAGCGCTAATTCCCACTGGGCCCACTGGCCGGAAGCTAGTAAACCACGCAGCCCTAGGCACGCTCACCTGCGCCCGAGAATCACCTCCAACCCCAGCTCCGTGCACAACGCACCACACATCCCGTTTCTCCTGCCGCTGTCTCTGCCCCGGGGTGCGAGCACCTTCCCTAGCTCTTGAAACACAGAACTCTCCCAAAGCTGGTCCTATAGCAGCAAGAACCCCGATGAAGACAGCAGTTCAACACTGGCCGAATACAGTTGGTCCCAACCCGCCCACCCTACCGCGCATCCCCTGTGAGCCCCAGCAGGCCCTGCTCCAGCCCACTTCGGCTTCCCCCAAGCGTGGCAAAGGCTTTTGCCCTTTTTTTGCCGCTGTTTTACCTTGAATCCCTCTTCCCAGCCCTTCCTCGGCGCGGGGACAAAGCTCTGTTCCTCAGCAGGCTGGGAAGGTCCACAGCCCATGCTGCGCGCCGCGCGCTCCTCCGGCCGGGTCCCGCCGTGCGCCCCCGGGCGCTCCCGGCCTTGTTCCTGCGCCCCAGCCACCCGCGCCCTACACCTCGGTCCCTGCTCCCAGCGCCTCCGCCTCTTCCACCTCCAGCACTTAAAGGCTCGGCAGGAGGCGCTGGGCACCTGAGCAGTTGCCGGGAACTGTTGCCACAATAAACGGAATCACCGGAACCTGGGAGCTGGGCGGCGAAGGCACTTCGGTAACTGAAAACTGGAAGAAAGGAGGCGCCGAATCACACCTGGGATGCAAATCGCGGCCCTCTCCAAAGCGAACTGAGGGAAGGGCCAGCTGCTGGCCGAGTTAGTGTTTCAAGTACTGCAGTCATCAGCATCCTGCGTGGACTTTTTTCTTCTTTCTAAGGTGCCCGGGCACACGCGCCCACCTCGGGTGCTTAGACCACGCCCTCCAGGTGTTGGCTTTGTGCTGCAGACTCGGTGGGGACTGTGCAGAGAGACGATTGGGAGGAAGAAGACGTAGGAGTCGGATCGGCGGAAGGCGCTCTTGAGGACCCGTGGGCAGCGAAGGCGGCCTGGGTAGCACCAGACGGCAGTGTCACAGGGTGGCCACGGGAGAGGTCGGTCACGCTAACAGAGATCCAGATACTTAGCATCGTAAACAGCTCAGCAGCCGAGAAATGGGTCATGCACATCATTTTTATGGAAAACGCCCTTAATGAGCTGTTAGGAAATAGCACGGATATGCCTATTTCTCTCAGAGAATTAAATTAAAACGGTGCAATGCATCAAAAAGGCCGACCAGACACACTGCTCAAATGAGCAACAAGTTCCTTCCTGGATTTTTATTTCTTTTTATTCTATTTTCAAAAATTAAAACAAAAAAAGGAGCTAACAGGGATTTTACAGATCATGGACCAAGCACTTATTTGACAGGCTGCAAACTTAGGCTCCGAGAGACTGAGTGACTTAGATTAGGGGGTGTGTGTGTGGTGGTGGTGCGCGCAGGGGTCAGGGTTTAGAATCAGAGACAATTTTTGCTTGTTCCTGAGGGTGATGTTTGGAGGAGATAACTGATTAAAATATCTTGGCAACTGTCCCCTCAGGCATTCTTTCTCCTACACCAAGAGCTTTCTGGCTCACGTACCCGACACTTGTCAGATCCAGAGAATGTGAGTGACATTGAGCAACAAGCGTTAAAAATTGAGAATCAAGAGAGGAAATAAGGCTAAATAGTATTCGAGGAACATCTCTGAAAAAAAAAAAAAAAAACTCATGGTATAAGTCACATGAAATGCTCCAACTGGAGCAATCTGGAATATTGTCAACTAGAATATTCCAGCACAGGGAAGACCTGTAAAATGTTCTTGAGAAAGTTTAATGAAAGTTTGTAGGGTGAACTATATGCGTGAAATACTGCAGACAACTTTTTTTTCCTCTCTTTTAAGGCAATCTGCGAACAGAGGTTTGCTGGGACATCCATGTGAGTAAAAGGGGTGATACGCAGATATATTGTTCAGGTGTCTTTGAAAGCATCCTATGACTATAGTCCGAAGTTGTGAAAATGCCTTTTCCCACAGATGGGCTAGACTAGAGCCTGCTCATACATGAAAGCTGATTGTCAGGAATATTTGGACCTGGTCATTAAACACAACCATTATTAAAATTTAGGTTATATAAACTTACAATTAAATTAGTTCCAGTAAAAACAAAGGTAACCAGTACAACTCATTATTTGCTAATCATTTTATTGCAGTTTACTACTGTTATGTTTCTGAGTTTATTTAGTCTGTTGTACCTGTGTAGTGCAGTTGTCATATAACGGTGGGCTGCTGTGTGCCTCTTCCCCAGTCCTTGTTCAGCGACATCACATTGATAGTTTGAAATCAACCAAGGTGGGAATATTGGTATATGCACCATGAAAATCAGGGCTTCTTCCCCCGTTCCCCAAGCTGCTAATTAAACATCTACCAGCTCGCACTACCTTCCCCCCCTGTATTCCAGAATGCCAAGGAATGACTGCTCTGTTCACCTTCTCCTCTGCCGATCTCTCTCTGCAGGAAAAAGGCGTTGGTGACCCAACCCCTCCACAGGGGAGGAGTGTGTATCACGCCCACATGTCCCTCCACCCCAGAGCTGGGCGCTATACCAAGGCTCTGTGCTCTGGATCCTGAGCTAGCGTGCCCTGGTCCCGGATAACCTGTCCACCCTGAACACTGCTAGAGGAAAAAGTGCTTGGATTCTCCCAAAGCGGGACCACTACTCGCTCATTTTAAAGTTTGACTCCAATCCTTGCCTTTTCTCTGCAATTCTGAACAATCTTGAGAAGGTTAATTCTCTGCTTCCCTCCAGGATGTTTATTTAAGCCTGAGGTTCGTCTTGAGCATTTTTCTCTGGAATGATAAGGATATTATAAAGGTGCTTCTCAAACTCTAATGTGCACACTCTGAGGATCTTGTTAAAATGCAGATTCTGAATGGTTTTTCAGAATCTGGGGTGAAAATACCACATTTCTAAGAAGCTGCCATCACTGTTAGTACAGGCTCACACTTGAAGTAGGAAGAGTATAGAACACATGTGAACATTAAATTATTACCTCAAAAGTCAGAAAGGGAAGGGGGAATATGGAAGGAAGAAGAAAAAAGTGAGAAGGAAAATGATGGGGGAGAATTAAAATAAAGACTATTGCCTGACCGGTGTGGCTCAGTGGTTGAGCATCAACCTATGAACCAGGAGGTCACTGTTCGATTTCCTGTCAGGGCACATGCCTGGGTTGCAGGCTGGATTCCTATCAGGGTCCAGCCCATCAGTGATTCTCATCATTGATGTTTCTATTTCTCTCTCCCTTTCTCTTCTTCTCTGAAATCAATAAAAAAATATTTTAAAAAAAGTAAAATAAAGTCGATTAGGCAATCAAGCATAGAAGAGACACTAACTTCATTTTATCAAGGTATTTTCAGTCTAGGAGCACCTTGATGCATCAAATTACAACTAGGAGTGTAATAAACCTGAGTGTCACACCAGTTTCCTGTCCCTCTACCAGGTGGAGAAGGGATCTTTGTGAATTAGTGGGTCAGGGTGAAGAAGGGAAAAAACCCCCTTTCTTGCCACCACCCAAGCTCTGGAGTCACTTTCTCCTCTTCTCTCTGATCTGAGAGAGAAAGAGTTACCCTTCTGGGGTTGGCTAATAAACCAGAAAGCAGAGAGGTTCCCTGCAGGCATTGGTATATCCAGGCAGGGTCAGGGTGGGTACCACACCAAAGAAGGGTCTTAAATGTCACATTGAAGCCTTTCAATTTCACTTCAGACCCTGATCTTTTCTAGGAAATGGGGAATCACACAAAGAAATCAGTAACGAGCCCAATTCACTGAGTTTACTAGCATTCTTCCAATTAATAGAGATATTATATGCTGACCTTTATTCCCAAACTTATCTCAACTGACTAATTATTAGAGTAACAGCTGACATTTTCAATGCTCGCTAACATTTAGATAAATGAAGGAAGCTGATAGCTATGTTGGTATTCTTCATCGTCAATTATTGGCTTAAAGCAAGGATTGGAAAACTATGCTTCCTCCCCCTGCCCTCCGCCGCAACCCTCTGGCCAAACTCAGCTCACTGCCTGTTTTTGTCTGACACATGAGTTAAGAATGGATTTTATAGCCTTAACCGGTTTGGCTCAGTGGACAGAGCGTTGGCCTGTGGACTGAAGGGTCCCAGGTTCGATTCCAGTCAAGGGCATGTACCTCGGTTGTGGGCACATTCCCAGAAGGGGGATGTGCAGGAGGCAGCTGATGGATGTTTCTCTCTCATTAATGTTTCTGTCTATCCCTCTCCCTGTAAAATATCAATAAAGTATATATATATTTTTTTAAAAAAGAATGGATTTTATATTTTTTTAATGGTTGGAAAGAAAAAGGAACAACATTATCAGTGATTCACGAAAATGATATGAAATTAAAATGTCAGCGTCCACAAATAAAGTTTTATTGGAACACAGACATTCATTTATTTACACTTTATCTATGGCCGCTTTTGTGCTACACGAGCAGAGCCGAGGAACTGTGACAGAGACCATATGGCCCACAGAGCTAAAAATGTTTATTATCTAGCCTTTTACGAAAAATGTTTGCTGATCTCTGATTTAAGATGACAGAGAAAGCAATTCCCACAAGGGCATTAAGTAACCACGCGGAGTCCTAATGGGCTGAAAGAGCTTGTAAGGCTTCCAGAAGGGCAAGAAAACCTCCTGGGGAACAGCTGCCACCCAGGGGGGTTCCTCTCATTAGCTAACGAAACCCCAGGTCTGTGAAACATGTTAAGCAGCTCCATTCAGCTGCTAAGACCCTCCCAGGCGCTGCTTGGAGCACCCTGTTCAACAGGTGCCGCTGAGTGGGGACAAAACCTCCCTGTGTTGCTCTGCTGCTTTGCAGCCGGAGTCGCGGTGCAGAGCTTCGTAGCTCCTGGCAAAAGAAAAGACAGAGCTGGATTGTAAGAAACGGGTGGCATTTCAAGAGTCATCTTCCACTTAAAGACCTCATTTTAAAACCCCATATTGTTCTGGTCCTTCGTGTTCCTTTGTCAGACACTTCAACCCAAACACTGTATTTCTGGAAAGCAGTCTTATGCTGCGCGCACACACACTGAGTGGCTCAGATGTGAGGGGCCTCCGAAGTTTTTATCCTCGGAATCCACTGGGGCAGGTGGCCTCAGTAACAGCACCACGGGCATTTAGAAAGCTCAGGAATCTGTCTATAAACCGTTGTGTGCTAAAGAAAACTCTTATTATAAAGGAAAACTGTACCAGGATACTGTCATTAAAAACAACACATTCGCATAATCAAGACTTTTGTAATCCATGTGCGAACATTTGCAATAGCATCAGCAATGAATTAATGGAGTTGCCTCAACATGCAGAGTGCAAGCACTCCCCTTCCAGGGACTTGATATGACAGATTCTTGCAGAGAACAACCAGAAATAAATAAAGAAGCCCACAAACAGGGGAACAATTGTTTGCCAAACCTTGGCATTAAGCCAACAATCTCAATGTTTGCTCATTCAACA